TGAATCGAAGAAAATGTAGTATTTGTGCATGGAAAAGGTCATCTTAAAATAAGTCAACTTCTCGAAAAGATAAAGGCTGAATCTTAAGATATTTATGTACAAAATATATGTGGAGAATTGAGAGGATTCTTTCCTTGTGTTGACGATAATTATTAATATTCCCTTGGGTTCCGAGTAGAACATATGGGGCTTCAACAACACATCTCCACTTTGTCCTATCTTCTGCCGTCCTCTTCATCTAGGTCCACTGTTACCCATAATCTCATATTTCCTCCTCACACGATCGCCTGTATATCACACTCGCACAGACGACCCACTCGTCGCTTCCCATTTGGATTCCACTCGAGGCATTGCCTGGCGGTTGTCTTGTGAACGGTTTATACATTGCCATTCTATTTCTACAAACAGTTTTCCTTCCACCCTCACAGTACTTATTATAAGCAATACTGAATTAGAGAGAGAGAGAAAGCAAATGATTTAAAATTACCTGTGGCAGCCAAAGTCAGTCGACTGGTCTTCATAGACCTTGAGACAATAGTTTCAGTCATAAGAATAATAATAGTAATAATAATAATAATAGTAATAAGAAGACGTAATTCGTCTGAATCGTGTAATGTTGTATTTGCGCAAAACATTTCGAACAATCCGATCCATCATACACGGACTTGTCATAGGAATATTTATGAAATTAATAAAGAGTTAAGAGATGAGAAAACAGACCTAACTCAAGTTAAAACGACATATTCAACGTCAAAATAACAATGAATATCACCAAACCAAATAGCAGAGGTATTAGTACATCTGCTAGGGTATCAAAACAAAGTTTACCAAGGAAGATAGGTTTAGTGTGATGAAGCATTGTTGCTTTGAACGCATAAAAGTGGTTTAAACTTCCTAATTGCCAGCTAGCGGTTCTGCAGACTTTACGATACACCCCAATCACATTTTATAAATAGGTTTAAAAGATGTGTAAACATCGATTTTATGTCCTGTCTCTATAATATATTTATCAATAGAGGAGCTAGGTCTCCTGTTCTCACCATTAATAGGTTCTGAAGATTCCATTTGTTTCTGGAGCTATTTAGGAATATGCTGTGAATCCCTTACTTGCAGAGATCGATGAGTCCTCTCTTCATGTGAGTGGGGCGTATCGTAAAGTTTGTAGAACCCCTAGCTGGCAATTAGGAAGTTTAAACCAACTTTATGCGTTCAAAAACAATTCATCATCACACTAAACCTCTCTTGGCAAACTTTGTTTAGTTTTGATACCAGCCAGGGTAGATGTACTATCAACTCTGTTATTCAGTTTAGTGATCTTCAATGTTATTTTGACGTTGAATATGTCCTTTTAACTTGAGTTAGGTCTACTTTCTCACTTCTTAACTCTATATTAATTTCATGTATATTTCTATGGCAAGCTCGTGTGTGATTGATCAGATTGTTCGCAATGTGTTTCGCAAATACATTACACGATTCAGACAAATTACGTCTTCTTATTGCTTTTTCTAAATTCATAAAGGGAACTAACTGTTTTAAATAATAGTAATAATAATTTTATTTTATATTTTATTATATCTTGACTTCACACCGTATATTTTGTTACAAGTATGGAATTTTCAGCATGTGATATCGGTAGACCAAATTTAGCAGGCCGACTATTGATATCGGATGTGGGTCGGCTGGGGACTGAACCCCGGACCATGCGCGTGGTCGGCTAGCGTCCTAACCGCTGTGCCACCGACGCACAGTAATAGTAATAGCTTCATTCTGAACAACGCTTGTATAATGTACAGAAATTTTGGCGGAGTTTATTGCATGATATTTTCCTCTTCGATTAGGATCTTCAAATAAAAGATTTGACACAGTTCTTTCTGACCTGAAGCGTAAACCAGTCCAATATGATACCTCTTCTTTGTCTCTTTCGGGAAACGCACGATGACATTTTGTTGAATGTTAATTATCAGAAAATAAGAAATACATTTTGTGAACCAAGGACACCACTGAGGAACCGTCATCTCATGTACTGGTATAAGTTGCCATCCGTTGAGGATAATGATTTTTCTCATGTTTAGTAGAATCTTGTGTATCAGCAAGTTGTATTACTATTATTATTATTGTTCCCTTGGGTTCCTAGTGAAACATAGGGCTTCAACTGCACGTCTCCACTTGCTTCTGTCTTCTGCTGTACTTTTCACCTGCATCCATGTTATTCCATACGGTTTCAACTCCTTTTCACATGATCTCCTCCATGTCACCCTTGCACCGACGAACCACTCGCCACTTCCCTTTCGGGTTCCACTCGAGCGTTGGCCTGACGCGCGATGTCACCCAACGGCCTCCTCAGCGAGTGTCCAATCCATCTCCACTTCTTTCTCCTGCATATTTGTTGGGCGATTGGTTCTTGTTTTGTTTGTTCCCATAGCTTCTTGTTTGTGATTCTTTCCGGCCATCTGATCTTGAGTATAGAACGAAGACAATTGTTGATAAAGGTCTCCAACAAGCTGTTGGAAATATTCTTTGTGACCCTCCAAGTTTCTGATCCGTATAGAAGAACTGACTAACTTGACGTTTGTATTGAAAATCCGAATCACTTTGTTGTTGATGCAGGCTGAGTGACGAAGATTTCCAGATTGGTTTCAGGTTGATGAATGTGTTTCTCGCCTTCCCGATTCTCGCTCGATTTGACATCCTCGTCCGTTCCTCCTGTGGTTGAGACAATGCCCCCTAGATAAGTGAAAGAAGTAACCTCTTTCAAATCCCTCCCGTTGATGGTGATTGGCGCTAGATGTTTCCGCTGTTGTTGTTGGTTGGTTGGTTATTTTCATAACCTCCGTTTTATCTATGACGGAGCTATAGATGTTTTAAATATTCACCGGAATAAACCATACTATTAGAGGTCATATTTTACTAGATTTAAACAAACTGAATAAGAGAAATTATATGCAATAGATTGATGGAGGTTGTTTTCACTAGCGCGAGTTGTAATCAGGCTTCCAGATAGAAATAACATGGTCTATAGTAGATCTACAAGATATGCATTTTGAAGAGTTAAAACCACAGGCCGAACATTTACTCGTACTAGGTGAGTCGGAGTTCAAATCTCAGAAGGGAAATGAGTCCTTTCAAGATTTCAAATACGCTTTACTGACTGCTGAGTGCCAACAAAAACACGAAATTTAGGTTGAAGGCTTCCTGTCGATTGTCTCCAACCATTTAAAAACAATTCAATGTGAACCTTGGAGGCAAGCCACCTAGCTTGTTGGTAACCAGATTATAAACTGATAGAATTCAAGTTTAACGACGGATTGGTATCAGTTAGAGAACCATTGAAAACTAACAGGGACTATTGGACAAATGTTTCTGTCATCCTAGTTTGGAAATAATCAGCAGTAAGCACCCACCGTCAGGTTCCGAACCCACTTCCTTGCTGGTTTTAAAGACAAGCGGCTAAAATTCAGTTTGTGGTAAAGCAGAAAGATTAGACGCATGACTTTAGTTACTATCTGGTGTCTAAACAAAGTACGAATTGATTGATTTTATTCAGAAGATATTTAATTACTTCAGTTCGACAAATTTTCAGTGTTAGTCAGTCATTATTATTATTATGATATTGCTATTACAGATATTGTATTGCTGCACTTTATTGCCTTAAAAATAAACTTTGATACATTCTATTTCTAATTTCTTTTACGGTAGAACACGATAATTAGCGAATTTAGGGTAGAGGAAATTAGAGAAAAAATTCAGAGAAATTGTCTGCATGTCTGTGTATGTATGCATACGTATATGTAGAAGAGAGATTTCAAATGTACGCGCGCTTTCATTTGATTGGTACATTTAAAGAATATTTTCTAGGCGCGAATATTTTGCTACATTGACTAAAACAAATCTCTCTCTCTCTCTATCCATGGGACCCTATAGGCTGCTTATATACATCTACAGACATAAAATTCATGCCTTATAAGGCATAAAAAGCATGAAATTGGATATTGATTGTAATTTAAATCGAAGTCCTGTTGTTGCTGTTATTTTATTATTATTATTATATTATTGTCATGATTACCCTTGTTTGCTTATTATATTACAACAATACCATGAGACAAGATGGATGTATGATCTTGAGGAGGAAATATTACAGAGACACATTCTACATTCTGTCTCTTTCTCTCTGAGTGTTTATGTATATATATGTGTCCGTGTTCAAATACAGCAACCCATTGATGAAGGGGGCAGAATGAATTGATTGAATTTTAAATTTTGTTACAATCTACATTTATACTACCCTAAGCATATACACCCAAAGCTTGGAAAATCCCCCTATTATTGTTACAAGGATTACCCTCCCCCCTTTCTCTACAACTCCACATACATTCGTGTGTTTAATATTTGTAAACATTGACCATAGGGTTGTATACACCTTTCACATTATTGTAATTTCGAGAATTTTTCATCCGATATTTTGTTGTTATAACATTTCATGCATAAGACACGTGTGTGTATGAATGTAAGGCAGCTCTATAGGTGAAAGACACGTTTCACAATCGGTAAAGGTTGGTTGGTTGGTTAGTTGGGTGGGTGGGTGAGTGGTGGTCAGTGGGGAGGGGGTAGGACAGTGTAAAATTACACTGTAATCCGTGACTCTTTTCCAATTGAACAAAATATCGGAACAAAATAATCTGAGTACATGAACACAACAGACATGTATATCAGCGCATGTTATACAAACGTGCGTACGTGTGTAGAAAAAAACACAGAATAAATGTGCATTTTGCAACATTGTAGTAAATGATGTGATCCCCTTTCATTTTTTTTGTATTTTACTACTAATACTACTACTAATAATCACAATTGACTACATTGTTTCAAAATAAAAATTGTTATAAAATGCTTACATTGTAATCGTTTCTACAGTTGTACAGTTGTAATAAAATTTTGCACATACAAACACAAACACTATATCTATCGAAAGATTTCTATTACCGAGAACAATTCAATTCTCAATTCATTCAACTGTAGAAAAATTCCGTTACAAACAAATTATGATGTTACTAAGTTGTTAGTTGGCGCGGCAGACGTCAAAATCACTGAAATTAACAATATTATTCTTATTCTTATTGCTATATTACTACTATATTACTATTTGTAGTAGTAGTAATAGTAGCGTTTTTCCAGGAAAAAAGATTGACTGAGTGTGAGTGTGATTGTGTGTGAGAGAGCGAGCGAGCGAGACGGGGGAGAGGAGAGTAGCAATTTGTTGTTGTACACACAATGAATGATTACATTTACATGTTACCCATTCCTGAAACATTTGATAATACCAGTCAGATTTCCATTGCTAATACTAACAATAACAATAGCAATATTAACAATACCAAGAATTATTTCACTACAATCACCGCAATAACATCAACAAAAACAGTTACAACTGAGAACGTGATTTTCACGAATGTATCAAATGATCAAAAGACCTGTTATGTAACAGAACCACACTATCATGGATCAATATCATCTTTCTGTCCTACATTAGTCAATGTTCAAAAGTCTGATAATAATGATGATAACGGTGGATGTTATGCAACTGATGAGGTTGATGATGATGATGATGAAAATGGATTTAAGTCAGTTCATCAAAATACTCCTGTCTTCTATCATTCTAATAATTTCCAGTCCAATCAAACATGGCCAACTGGCAATAATGAAGGGAATATTCCTCAGCTGAATAAATTCGAGGGTATTTATCCTAGTGAATGGAATGCTGACAACAAACCGTTGACTTCAGACACATATCCTTCTATACAACCGGATAGTATTACTCCTCATAATAATAATAATAGTAATACGACTGATTATCATTTTTCGCCCAATACAAATTATCTGAGTATTTGTAACAGTAATAGTTATACTACACCTCCTACGACCACTACTACAACTAATACTATTACTAGTAATAATAGTGACAATAATAGTAAAACTGGTAATCTTAATAACACGCGTCCAATTCCTACAGTCAGTCATGGTTATACCTACCAGCAGGGAATAAATTCCTCAGTTTATGAACAACCCGCATATGCTTATGATAATAATAATAACAATCTACTCGGTAAGTGTATAAACAAACCTGATTATCCTCATTCTGTTATCATCAGTACGGCTACACTTCCTTCGTTAACCTGTCATCATCCTAATCATCAACATGAACAACAACAACAACAGTCATCGATCATTGAGTCTAATGCAACAGAACAACACCAGCAACAACAACAACAGATACAGAATGCTTCTACACATTTCTCTTATGAAATATGTAATAATAATAATAATAATCGATCAATAAAAGATTATTCTAAAAGTTCAACAGGACTAGTTTATTCAAATGAGTAAGTTAATATTATTCCTGGTTATTTTTTTTTCATTTCATTTCATTCCTTTGTGCTCCAAGTGCAGTATAGAAGAACTTCAGGGTTTTCGAGGTTCAGTAATGCTGGTGTTGTTGTTTGTCCTTAGAGGGTTTGCTAACGCCACAGCCGAAATCCCGTCTTTCCCGAGTTAAATATTGATTAGTGAACTAGTCGACGTTTAGCAGTGCATAGGCATATATATATATCTGTAGTCTTGAAGGGACTCATGTACATGCAGAGATTTGAACCACAGCTCATCTATAGTGCTAAAGCCAGAGACGTTACCACTAGGCTATTCGAGTTTGCAACTGACTGTTAAGCAAACTGGTCCAACACACTGTTTCATTGTAGTCTCATGTAGCAAAGATAGTTACAGACATGAGCGATAATCACTTCTTCCAAAAAAGCTATTTTCATTAAAAAAAAGAATATAGCATAATTTACTTTCATTTAAGGTGTGTGATGTGAATTATTTTCCGGTTGTTATCGAGAGAAATATTTTCTCCTGGAGTGAAACATAGTTTATAAATCCGAAGAATTCCAGTAAATATTTAACATGTCACATCTCACTGTATCTACCCATTTAAATATACGTGTGGCCACATTTACATAGGAAGGATTCATAGATCTTTGCAAGTAAGAGCGCTTCAGAGCATATTCCCAAATGGATTCAGAAGTAAATGGAATCCCCTGAATCTATTAATGATGAGAACAGATGACTTAGCTCTTCTATTGCGAAACATTGTATGCAGACAGGACATACAATTGATGTTTACGCGTCTTTTAAACCTATTTATAAAACGTGTTTGGGGTGTATTGTAAAATTTGTGGAATCCCTAGCTGGTAATTAGGAATTTTAAACCACCTTTATGTGTTCAAAACTTTTGTTCATCACACTAAACCTTCTTTGCGTAAACTTGGTTTTGATACCAGCTAGGCTAGATGTACTATTACCTCGCTTCTTTAGTTTAATGATCTCCATTGTTATTTTGACCTTCAGCATATCCCATTTAAGATTGAAAAAAATGTCTATACGAAGTGGTTATACTGTCATTCTGACTGAAAGATAATAGGGAGTCACTGAGGATATTGTTAGAAAAAGGTAGGGAAGAAAGAAAGAGTACGACAGTGATATGTATGTTACTACTAAGTAACCTTCTTCCCTAGTGTATGCATAATGTGTCTTTTGTAAATTTTTCTTCAAATTTTCAATTTTCAATACTTGAACATTATCGATATACAAAAGGCAGCAAAGAAGAGAAATCTGATCGTGACTGTGTGATTCAATGAAGTATATTTGTGGTATTGTAACAGTAGAACGCTTGCCAACCACGGCAACCATTGTCCATGATTCGGCTCCCAGCTCACGCACTCCTAAACCACTCCTGACCGGTGGAAAACCAGGTAATGAGGGGAGATCGGGCGTGAGACTAGCAATTCAACTCCATAAAAAAGAAATCGCTACTAAAACTGCAAAGACTGAGCTTAAAGCCCTATGTTCCTCTCGGAACACAAAGGAATAAAATGGTGGTGATGTTAAAACTGTACAGGAACTAATAAATTTGATTCCTTAGGTTGTATACAGCTGACAAGATATACCGGTAAATTAAATAAATAAATAATAATAGTAATAGTCACTTTATTCCAAACGATAATAATAGTAATAATAATACAGAATGGAATTCTCAGCGTTTTTTATACATATTACGACAATTAACCTCCTTTTATAGATATACTAATAACCCCCAGCATTTATTGAAAAATACATGAAGAACCATAGAAAAACTAAGATTACTTGTAAAAATGACGAAAATAATATAGAATTCAGAGTCTCTGTAGTACTGTGGCATAAAGAAGGAATGTCAGCTGTCATACGTAGGATTCTCAGTGACTCTGAAATTAGGCGGGATGGCATTTAAACCAACCAATCAACCAACTCTCTCAGAGATGAACTTTGTCGGCTAAAGGACCCAATAGATCCAATTAAGAAAAATAATATAACTTGCTGAATACCATGTAATGACTGTCAGTGAGGTCAGTTAAAGCATAGGTCAAACTAGTAGATCAAGGTCAACTAGATTATTGGAACATAGGAATTCAGCTAAACGTAAAGTTAGTGTTCCTGATAAGTTAAATAACCTAGAAAAAGGCTCAGCCATTGCACTACATTCACTTGCATGTAATCACACAGCGATAGGGTGGGTGGGACAGGGTGAGAGTATTAAAAGGGAATATAGTTAGTTAGAGAGAGAGTTTAATCATTGAAGCTTTGTTTATCGAGTTGACATTGCACATGGGCGGTTGGAATGGCGCAACGCCGCCCATATCGCATATATGGAAAGTGGCAACAAACAACAAAGGGAAGTTGAAGACAAACTGTGAGACTGTATGACCAAACTGTCCAGTACTCCCATGTTTTCTAATGGTTCTCTAACCGATGTCAGCTCATGATGAAATCCTCTAACCAAACTGATATGATTATGGGTGGCAATAATTTATGCTCAAAACTTTGTCATCCAGTTGTTAATAGAGCATCATCACTGTGTGATATTTGAAATAAACTTATCTAATATGGAATTACATTCTACGACAGAGCCCAAGTTCTATATTTACATTAATATATCAATATTTGTAACCACAGGAAATTTTAAAAATAATAGAACGACAAAAGCTGAAAGTTAGAGGAACATAATGAATTATAAATAAATAATACGTGTAATAATAATAATAATAAACTATGCTTATTCTTTGCAGTTCAGTTACTGATTTTAAAAAAGTTCATGAGCTGTTTTGTGACATTGGTCACCTCACACAAAACCTCTACTAAATATGGTATGGTTGAAGTTTTATGGTTTAATGAACAACCATAAATTCTGATGAAATCCCTTCTGCTTCTATCCCCAAGAGATACAAGAGGAGAGTTGCGAATAAGGAGATCAATCGGTATCAGACAAAATGAATTTAGCTAACAACTGTTTGCAAGAATTAAAATGTCTCTCAACAACAACAACAATGAGAGTTGGTAATTGAGTCATGGGCACATCACTAACCCTGCCTGCTTACAGTCTTCAATGTTCTATGTAATATGACATAGTCTTCCTTGAGAAGCGTGGGGAATAATAACGAGGGGAGCAATGCAGTTGAATGGGCAGAATATATGAATTAATAAATTATAAGAGAATAGGTTGAGTTATGCTGGAATATCTCAACTTCTCTATGTAATAAGTTAGATAAAGAATTTTCTAAGAAATCAACAGAATATGAGACGGCCAGGAGAGATTTGAAGAGAGACTATTGCCAAGATAGGTAATAATGGATTTATTTTTTATCATAATGCCGTCAGTGTTATGATAATCGTGGGACTGAAACTAAAATCAGTAATATGACATTTAGATGGGTTTAACTGAAGACCATCTGAGTGAGACCATTGGATAACCACGGATAAGAAACTTTGCATGCCAGAACAATCCAATGCAAATACTGCGGAGACAGATATCGTCAAATCACCACCACATTTAATGAAGCTAACTTTGCAAGAATACGGCAATTCATACAAGAAGAAAGAGAAAAGAAGCGCAGAGAGTACACCACTGTAAGGAACATCAGCTTCCGTAAGCGAGAAGTGGAGCGTTTCCCATTTTTAAACACTATGTTGTTTCCTACCTGAAAAATAGAAAGACAGTCATCTTGTGACCTAAGACTCAGTGTGTGCTGAAATCAGTCTGCTTCGTAGAAGTGCCCTAGGAAGAGAGTCATCAAAAGCAGTAGTGTAGTCTAAAAAGGAGGCCCGAGTCTTTTCCAAGACTCGAAACAATATTGTGATGAAGTACAACGACAGCATCTAAAATGCTTTTACTTGTATTTGTAAGCAGATTGCTTTGGGTCACTGATAGATTTCAAAGAAGGCTTAAGAACAATTAATGGATCTGTCTGTCTAATCCTGCATCGTATGTTGTTACCGCTTTGTTCAAATTCATTAAAGGGGAATTCGTATTTGTGATATAATTTTCAAGTTTGACCACGGATTGATATCAGTTAGAGGACCATTAAAAACCAGGAAGTACTGGACAGCTGCTTCATCCTAGTTTGGGAATCATCGGCAGTACTCATCCACTGCCAGGGTTCGGACCCCAAAAACAAACCTAATCCTTAAAAATCAACTCTTAAAAATTGATCTGATGCTCGCTAGTGAGTTGTTACAGGATGGAGCTTCCTGGGTTTCTAGTGAGAAGTCGTGAATAGTGAGCTCCATCCAGTCAAGTGTGAGGATGGATTTCCCACCGATGACATTGGTTGGTGCCAATCGCGCTAAATCACGAATTTGTAGAAGTTAGAATTCATGGCCAGGCCATTGAGTCAGATGGGTCCCATTGGCTGAATGGTATACGAGCTCGCTAGCCTTGTAACCAGAAGGTACCAGGTTCGGACGCTAGTGTTGGGTGTGTACTGCCGATGATTCCCAAACTAGGCTGATGAAACAGCTGTCCAGTACTCCCTGGCTGGTTTTCAATGGTCCTCTAACTGATATCAATCAGTGGTCAAACTCGTATAAACAAATCTAATCCTTCCAAACCAACTCTCGAAATTATAATTTTCACTTAACAAAACCTTTACATATTAATTATTTGGGGTGAATATATATTAACATTACTAGTGTCGATAGAGCTACCTCTCATAGAATGAGATGTACATTCTGCAATAGAGAAATTATGTAAAGATTAGGAAAATTTTTAAATTTAATCAGTTAACGAGGTAGCACTGAAGTCTGTTACTTAAGATTGATATTTCCGATCGAGTAAATTTTTATGAAACACTTTTCAGGAGTTCTTCTTCTTCTTCTAAAGGTAAGCATACTGACAAGATGATTACATCTTAAGTAGAACTTATATTTCTGTGATAATGGAGGTGTCTGTTTTGAGGTCATATATCAGGAGCCTTTAGAGGCTAACTTGTGATACTCATATGGTAACAAGGTTTCA